TTTTTTTTTTTTTTTTTTTTTAAATTCAGGGATCAGTAACTTATTTCAGGATCATTTTAGATTAGAACTTTCACCTCCCACCTGGGCTTTTCGTTTCTTAGTGTGTAAATTATTCTTAGTTTTTGGTTCACTAATATTGTCTTGTTAATTATACTGAGCATACACAACCCTAATAAATCTTTTTCTTCTTTTCTTTTCTTTTTTTTTTTGCCACAGTCTTGTACTGTCGCCCAAGCTGGAGTGCAGTGGCATGATCTTGGCTCACTGTAACCTCTGTCTCCTGGGTTCAAGTGATTCTCATGTCTCAACCTCCCAAGTAGCTGGGATTACAGGCATGTGCCACCACACCCAGCTAATTTTTTTTTTTTTTTTCAGTAGAGATGGGGTTTTGCCATGTTGTCCAGGCTGGTCTCAAACTCTTGGCCTCAAGTGATCCACTTGCCTCGGCCTCCCAAAGTGTTGGCATTACACGTGTAAGCCACCATGGCTGGCCTTCTAATAAAGCTTAAATCCTATGTAGCAAATAACATAGTATGTTTTTTCTTAGTCTTTTTTTTTTCACTCTTATAATTAACCAACTTACATTCAGAGTCCAGAGCCAGCATTTGTTCATTTGACATGGGATTCATGATAATTCACAGGTGATATGGCTATCTGGGAGTAATTGTTGGTTGGGATGTTGAAGAAGGGTTCCAGGTATTGCTGAAACAGAAATATCCTCCTGATGAACAGGTTTATAAGAGTTTTATTCGTTTAATAGTACAAACAACCCTTCCTGAAAGATTTCTATTAATATTACCTCTCTTGAAGAGCAGTGTCTGATTTGAATTACCCACTGTGAACTAGTCTTGTAAGATACTGGGCATTTTATGTATGTATGTATGTATGTATGTATGTATGTATGTATGTATGTGTGTATGTATGTATGTAGATGGAGTCTTGCTCTCTCACCTAGGCTGAAGTGCAGTGGCATGATCTTGGCTCACTGTAAGCTCCACCTCCCAGGCTGAAGCATTTCTCCTGCTTCAGCCTCCCGAGTAGCTGAGATTACAGGCACATGCCACCACGCCCAAGTAATTTTTGTATTTTTAGTAGAGACGGGGTTTTACTATGTTGGCCAGGTTGGTCTTGAACTCCTGACCTCAAGTGATCTGCCTATCTCGGCCTCCCAAAGTGCTGGGATTACAGGCATGAGTCAACGTGCCTGGCCTACCCGGGCATTTTAAATAAATTTAGGCCACACTAGGCTATGAGTAGAAGCTATTTGGGGCTGGGTGCAGTGGCTCATGCCTGTAGTCCAGCACTTTGGGAAGCTGAGGCAGGATTGTTTGAAGCCAGGAGTTTGAGACCAGCCTGGGCAACATAGCAAGACCTTATGGCTAATAAAAAATTAGCCAGGCCTGGTGGTGTGCATCTGATGTTTCAGCTACTTAAAAAGCTGAGGTGAGAGGATTTCTTGAGCCCAGGAGATTTGAGGCTGCAGTAAGCTATGATTGAGCTACTTGCACTCCATCCTGGGTGACAGAGCAGCAGTCGCAAACAACAACAACGACAACAACAAACTCAGTGATTTGGTTGCAAATACCATACGTGTTAATAGTAAATGTCTAAATGTTAGCTCAAACTAATTTATATAGGTCTTTTTTTGTTGGAATAAATAAAGAATTTGCTTTCATTTTGGAATGCAGATAATCATATATTAACTCCCACATTTGATCTCATAATTCATGCATTTATTTTAGTAGGCTATAAGAACTCCTCACTATTACATTCTTATCAACAAATCTGACAGAATTGAGATATCCCTAGCCCACATTCCTGAGAAGGAAAATTACAAAACAATAATTATAGGATATGAGGTACAGCATCTTGAGTTACAAATTATTTTTCTAAGTCCTATTTGTTTACATTGAACTCAAACTGACTGTCAAATAAGAATACTGCTAAAAGTACATTGTTACTATAAAAAAAGGAATTTTTAGTATGCAACTGAATGGAATCCTAAAATTCATTATGAATTATCAGTAATATATGAAATCTTATTTTAATAGCATTTCCTTTTAAAAAGGAGTTTAGAATATAGTGGGTCTGTTTCAAATACCCTATTTAGAATTTTATTTTGTCTTTTGGAAAACAGAAATTATAACTTTCCACTTTCTGGAAAGATTTTTTTTTTTTAAGGGAGTTCAAAAGAAGGAAATTCTAACAAGATTAAGTTTAGGATAGGTTTATTCTAGTAGGCTTTGTGGCACAGGTCTCCCTAAGTAATTCATCATAAGAATCCAGTGTATGCCACATATCAAGAAATTAAATTGCTATCAACTGACAACTAAATTTGATACCCTTTAGTATACAGAATACTACACATAAGTCTTTCCAACCTTTGAAGGATTTCTTCCCTAAGATCTTCTATGGAAAGATGTAGGATTGTATACTTTACAGGATTTTTTTTTTTTTTTCAGAAGCAACATCTTTAAAAGTTCCTGGATATTCTAAAAAGTGCCTGCTAACTTAAAAAAAATTGTCTTTAGGTATTTCATGCTAAGTTGAAAGCTTCTTTATCAAATATGATGAAACCAAATATAGCATGAACCCATAGCTAAAAGAAAAACTACCCATGTGATTAAATTTTTATTGAGAATGAACAATTTTTTTCTTGATGCACAGTCTCATTCTACTTTTCTGTACAACTGGATAGTAACTTTTGGTAATAAAAATTCAACATATGTTACATTGGTTTTCTGATAACTTTATTTTTAATATGGCTATTTAAAAATTCTTCCAAATGGAGGATTTGGAAAAGCCAACTTTTAACTGAGCCGACAAAAATCAAACAATGCGGTTGATATATTTTGGCTACTACTTTCAGAGTGACTGCTATGTGCTAGCCATTGTTCTCATGATCATGTATTTATCAACTTTAATTCTTATAATGACGCTGCAAGGTAAGTACTATTAGTCTCTTTCATTTGTAAGGAAAAAGGAAGATTAAAGAGATTAAAGTAACTTGTCTTTTATCCAGCTAGTAAATTTTCCCAGCAAATATTTGAGAGCATACTTGGTATTGGCCTTGAGACTACCTCTGGGGCTGGGAACACAACTGTGAACAAGACAGACAAGATCCCCATTTTTAAGGAGCTTACAACTCCAGTTTGAATATAATGGTGTTGGACTCAAACTCTTCTTAGCTTCTACTCTTCCCCTACAGCAACACTCCAATAAGATGAATAAAATTGTTTCAGGACCACTTTAAAAAGTAGGTGAAGATGGACACTGTATACTGGAATATGTTGTAAGAAAGTAATGTTGGTATATAAACATCCAGATTTATCAATAGAAAAACGCTATGACCTAGATGTATAGAGAATGGAAAGCCTATGCTGCACAACAGATATGGCTTATGATTGCCTGTAGATAATATGTAATTCAACAGCAGTAACACATACTTGCTGTCAACTTTCAAATGGCCTTAAGAATCATTATTATCTCAGTGTTGGACCTTGCTCTGTCCAGCAAGGTAGTCACAAGCCATTTGCGGCTTTCAAGTACTTGAAATATGGCTAGTGTGACTGAGGAACTAAATTTTAAATTTTATTTAATTTTAACTAATTTAAAAACTGATACTTGATCCAGTTACAAGATTTTTTAGGCATGCTAGAACAACCTGGGTATGTGAATCTCTTTTTCTCAATTGTATATTTTAGGAAATTTAAATATGGATCAAATATTTCTGATGAAAATTTAGCATCTGAATTGAGATGTGCTATAATGTAAAAAAATACACTGCATTTTGAAGGCAAGATAAAACATAAATATCTCACTAATTAAAAAAATACTGATTACATGCTGAAATAATATTTTTGCTATATTTGGTTAAATAAAATCTTATTAAAATTAGTTTCAACCCTTTCTTTTTTAAAAAAGTTTCATTTTTAAAAATGTGTGTACAGGGCCAGGTGCGGTGGCTCATGCCTGTAATCCCAGCACTTTGGGAGGCTGAGGCGGGGGGTCACAAGGTCAAGAGTTCAAGACCAGCCTGGTCAACATGGTGAAACCCCATCTCACAAAAATTAGCCAGGCATGGTGGCATGTGCCTGTAATCCCAGCTACTCAGGAGGCTGAGGCAGGAGAATCCCTTGAACTAGGATGGTGGCGGTTGCAGTGAGCCGAGATCGTACCACTGCACTCCAGCTTGGGTGACAGAGCAAGACTCCATCTCAAAAAAGAAAAATAAAAAACGTGTGTATTAGGAAATTTTAAATTACACGTATCATTTGCTTTGTATTTGTATCATTTTAAGGAGTCCTGTTGGAGTCTGATTCAAATATTAACTCTTTTATTTTTGGCATCAAAACATTTTCCCATTATACCTCATTATTCTTTTGTAAAAAGCTATGAATTATCTATCACTATTTCTATTCATGTTGTGAAGTTGTTAAGGTTGGGGTTATTGTCTGCATCAAATGGTTTCTGGTCCTAGTAAAGAAACTGTTAGATGTGAGATAGCCCTCAATAGACTTCACCTTCCTACACATATTGCTAGGTGTGGCTACCATGCAAGACCTTGACTGTACTATACCTGGGCCATTTCTCAGTATTGAGTTTTGAGTGAGCATCTGTAAGGGATAAGGCAAAGAGCAGGTTTGCATCTGTTCATGGATAAAAAGCAGTGAACCCTCCAAGCTCAGTATTCTTTACCTACAACTAAAGCCCACTGTATATGTAGCCATATTGTGTATGGCCATATCATTTTGCCCCCACGGGACTTGGGACAAGGGAAGCAATGAGAATGTGCTGATGCTTATACTCCTTGTTGTGCCATGAGTAACAGTCCTTTGTTTCTGTCCAGGAATCTCATGTCTTCTGTTAGCATCCATGAAAAAGTAACAGAGTAACTACTTAGCTTCTAAGTAAAGTAAAACCAAATATCACACCTGACAGGATACACTTAAAATTATGTATTTATACTCATTTTTAGTTGTGGAAAATTATTAGGTTTGATGGGATATAAGAATTCTTTTACATAAAAAAGTTTGTCTTACAATTTAAAAAGTTTAACTTATTGAAGCCTAGTTTTTACATAAAATTTGGTTTTATATAAAAATGTGGCTGAGAAAATGTTAGCTTAAATATCTTTAAAAATTATCAAATGCAAGGGTCAATATTTGTCCTTATAATAGAAATATTACACATGTGCTTGTATGAACTGTCAGTATATAAGTATATACATAATACATTTATTTCCCAAGAGTGTTTTTCAGAGTAGTCTTTTAAAAATAGAAAGTGAATGTAAGTATTCTGTGGGATTATATTCAAAGATTTATAGATTTTGGAAAGAAATAGCTTATCTCCTATACAATATATATATATATTCAGGACAAAAGCAAACATTATAAAAAGTATAAAAATAGGTAAAAAGATACAAGTACAATAATAATTTGGTTGGAATTTCAAAGGTGCTTTTTTCTCTTCTCTTTCCCCTTTATCTCAAAAGTTATAAATACTTTTGAAGCAGCATGTATTGTTGCACTTTTGATTTTTTGTTGTACAGTTAATGAACTTGAGAGTCTGGATGACTGGTGATCATCTATTTGGCCTTCCCATTCTTTTGTTTCTTCTTCTTTGATTAGTAAAGGTTTTCCTAAGGTTTGGCCAACAAGGTTACAGACTTCTTGAGCTTTGCGCCACGCATTCTCAACAGCAACAAGACAGGCTTGCCGTCTTAGGAATTAAATGGAGAGATTATTAATATGACACTCAATGAAATGTAGCACTGGATAGTTTTGTTTAAAGAATATCTTAGTTAAAGATGTGCTTAAACTTACCGAAGATTCTCAACAGAACCTGGAGTATGATAGAACTGGGGTGGGCTGATGACAACAGAGCTATCTAGCTTTTCAACAAGAAAGTTACAAATATTTTGCATTTTTCCAAATTCAGTAAATGTAATGCAGACCTGTAAATGAAATGACACGATATTATTTTCATGTCTGATGTACTGTTTCAAGATTTTCTCTTCATCTAAGTAAAAAAGTATAGCCAGATGATGAGGTCATTATATAGTATGTAACAGATTTTTAAAAGTCTATTTGATACTTGTAACTGAATTATTTTGTTCTTTTTTTGCTTTTGAATTTTCAAATTTAATTAATATTGTCTTGAACATTAAAAAATTTATATTTTAAACCGGGGATTTTTAAATGAAATTGGAGGAGTTTCCCTTAAATCTTACTACTTGGCTAAATTTTAATCCTGATAACTCGACATGATTCCTTTGTCTGGTCAATGCCCTTAGCTTCCTGATTAGTAGTAATTATGTCATACGTCACTGCTGTCATTGAGAAATGTTTCTTCTTCCAATAGTTCTGTTCAGATCCATATGTGGAAGCTAATGTATTTCACTCTGTCTTCTGCCTTTAAATATGTGGAAGCAGTCCTTATATTTGGCAATACTTTAAAACTGGTCTGTAAACTCTTCAATGAAGAGAACTAAACCTTGTCTTTTTTTTTTTTTTTTTTTTTAAGAGAGACAAGATCTTGCTACGTTGCCCAGGCTGGAGTGCACTGGCACAATCATAGCTCACTGCAGCCTCAAACTCCTGGGTTCAAGCGATCCTCCTACCTCAGACTTCCAAGTAGGAAGGGCTACAGGCATGCACCACCATGCCCAGCTAATTAAAAACAATTTTTTTGTAGAGGTGGAGTCTCACTATGTTCCCCAAGCTGGTCTCAAACTCCTGGCCTCAAGCAATCCTCCCACCTCAGTGGTTGTAGGCATAAGCCACCACAGCCAGCCTAAACCTTTTGTTCTAAAGAACCCTTACACAGTCTCAATATGCAAAACAAAAAGTACAGATATTAGAGAATAAGCTGGAGTAGCAAAGACAGATATAAGATAACCTCACCTTATACAATGCAGAACATCTGTCTTTAATCATATATATATACATATATATATATATATATATTTTTTTTTTTTTTTTAAGACAGGGTCTCTTTCTGTTTTCCTGGCTGGAGTGCAGTGGTGTGATCATGCGCTCACTGCAACCTCAACCCTCGGGTTCAGATGATCCTCCTGCCTCAGCCCCCTGAGTAGCTGGACTACAGGAAAGTGCCACCATACCTAGTGAATTCTATTACTTTTGAAAAAGGGATAGGACTTTGTAACCACCATAACAAAAATTTAGACCTGTTCCAACACCCCTAAAAATTATCTCGAGTAACTCCTTTATCAGTTCCTTCCCCAGTTCCTAAACCCTGGCAACTAACTGATACATTCTCCACTGTTAAAGATTTGCCTTTTTTAGAATGTCATATACATGGAAGCATACAGTCTGTAATCTTTGAGACTACTACTTTCATTTAGCATAATATATTTGCAATTCATCCACATCGTTGCATAATAGTTTTTGTTCCTTTTATGCTGAATAGTATTCGTTATATGATCTAATCACAGGTTTTTTTTTTTTTTTTTCCATTTAGGTTGCTTCCAGTTTGGGGCTATTATAAATAAAGATGCTGCTTTTTCAAAGTATTTCTAGATCCTTTGTATTTCCAAATATATTTTGTAATCAGTTTTTGTCAATTTCTATTTTTTGAAAAGCTGGCTGAGATTTTCATTAGGATTGTATAGATTAATTTAGGGAGGACTGATATCTGGAATAGTGAATCTTCCAAACCATGAACAAGAAATGTTTTTCCACTAATTTAGGTCCTCTTTAATTTCTCTCAGCAATGCTTTGCAGTGTTTAGCATACAGGTCTTTCACATCTTTATAACAGATTTATACCTATGTATTTTAAATTTTTTGATGCTTACTAGTTCTAATAGCTTTTTTGTAGATTCTGTCAGATTTTCTACAAAAATGGTCATGTTGTCCATGAATTAAGATAGTTTTACTTCTTCATTTCCACTCTGGATGTCTTTCATTCTTTTTCAAGCACAATGGTGAAAGAAGACATGAACGAAGACATCTTTGTCTTGTACCTGATTGTAGGCACAAAGCATTCAGTGTTTCACCATTAAGTATGACAGCTGTAGGTTTTCATGGATTCCTCTTATCAGTTTGAGGAAAATCTCTACTGTTCTTATTTTACTGATAATTTTTACTAGGAATAAATAAATAATAGATTTTGTTAAGTGCTTCTTCTGTATCTATTGAGAAGATCAGGTGATTTTTTTCAGTTTGTTAATACAGTGAATTAGATTGACCAATTTCTCAATGTTAACCAACTTGAGATACACAACACTTGGTCATTAAGTATTAATATTATTCTTTATACCTACATGTAAAGGATACATGTGTGTGTGCAGTGTGTATACGTGTATGTGTATAAATCATTAAATTTGGCTAAAATTTAGTTTATGATTTTTGCATATGTTTATGATGGATATTGGTCTGTAATTTTCTTTGCTTGTAGTGGTATTTTTCTGGTTATCTTCTGACCTCAAAGAATGAGCTAGGAAATATTTCTTCCTTTTCAGTTTTTCTGGAAGAATTTGTATAGAATTGGCATGATTTCTTCCTTACACACTTTCTAGTTTCCTTTTCAACTTCTTTTTTGACACATGGGTTACTGAAAAGTATGTTTTTAAAATTCAGCGTATTTGGGGGATTTTCCTGAGACCCTTCTATTAGTGGTTTTTAATTTAATTACACTGTGGTCAGTGAACTTTGTACAATTCAAATCCTTTTTTTTTTTTTTGAGATGCAGTCTCGCTCAGTCGCCCCAGGCTGGAGTGCAATGCCATGGCATGATCTCGGCTCACTGCAACCTCTACCTCCCGGGTTCAAGTGATTCTCCCGTCTTAGCTTCCCAAGTAGCTGGGATTACAGGTGTGCATCACCATGCCCAGCTAATTTTTGTATTTCTGTACAGATGGGTTTTCACCATGTTAGCCAGGCTGGTCTTGACCTCAGGTGATCTGCCCACCTTGGCCTCCCAAACTGCTGGGATTACAGGTGTGAGCCATTGTGCCTGGCCAAATACTTGTATATGACACAGAATATGGTCTATGTCGGCAAATGTTCAATGTACACTTGAAAGGAATGTGTAGGCTGCTGTTTTTGGAGTGTTCTATATATGTCAAGCAGGTCAAATTGGTTGACAGTGTGATTCAAATCTGATATATTCTTACTGATTTTCTGTCTATGGTTTTATCAACTTGAAAAGGGGGGGTATTGAAATCTACAAAAACTGTAGACTTATTTCTTTGTAGTTCTATCATTTTTGCCTTAAGTATTTTGTAGCTTTATTATATGTATAAATATTTAGTGCTGTATGTCCTCTTGATTGACTTTTATCGTTATGAAATGACCGTCTTTATCTTTGAAAGTCTTTGCTCTGAAATCTACTTTGATTACTATAGCCACCCTAGCTTTCTTTTCATTTATGTTAGCATGACATATCTTTCTCCATCCCATTAATTTTAAACAATACATGTCTTCATATTTAAAGTACACTTCTCTCAGGCAGCATGTAAGTGGAGTTAACTTTTTAAATACAACTGAAAATATCTGTATTTTAATGAAGGTATGTGGACCATTTACATTTAATGTGATTATTGATATGGTTAAATATAAACCTGTGGTCTTGTTATTTCACTTTTACTCATTTTCTGTTTTCTTTTTGATATTTTTATTATATTATTTCATAGCTTTCATTGACTTATTAGCTGTAACTCCATTATTTTAGTGTTTGCTTTGGATTTACAGAATACATTTTTAAGTTATTACAATCTACTGTCAAGAGCTAGAATACCATTTCACATACACCTTTATAACATTGTACTTCCGTTCTTCCCTTCCTGACCTTTGTGCTATTGTTGTTATATATTTTATTTTTACATATGTTATAATCCCCATAGTTTATCATTATCATTTATTTAGTCATTTTTTTTTTTTTTTTGAGACAGAGTCTTGCCATGTTGCCCAGGCTGGAGTGCAGTGATGTGATCTCGGCTCACTGCAACCTCCGCCTCCTGGGTTTGAGCAATTCTCCTTCCTCAGCCTCCCAAGTACCTGGGCCTACAGGTGTGAGCCACCATGCCTGGCTAATTTTTGCACTTTTAGTAGAGACGGGGTTACGCCATGTTGGCCAGGCTGGTTTTGAACTCCTGACGTCAGGTGATCCACCTGCCTCGGCCTCCCAAAGTGCTGGGATTATAGACGTGAGCCACTGCACCCAGTCTAGTCAGTTATCTTTTATATAAATATAGAGATTTCTAAAGAGATTTATATTAAGAAAAACCCACATAGTGTAAATTCCTATTTCTTTCTGGTATCATTCTTTCCTGCTTAAATGATGTCATTTAAATTTCTCAAAGAGTAGGTCTACAGGTAATGAATCCTTTCAGTTTACTGGAAAAGTCTTTGATTGGTCTTTGTTTTTGAGCACTACTTTTGCTGGATACATTAATAGAAACTCTTGGTTGAGATATATATATATATATATATATATATACCTTTTAGTCGTTTAAAGATGTGGCACAACTGTCTCCTTGCTTGCACTGTTTTCAACAAGAAATCTGTTGTCTTATCTTTGTTCCTTTGTAGATAATATGTCTTTTTTCCCCTCCTCTGGCTGTTTTAAGATTTATCACTGGTTTTGAGCAATGTGATTATAATGTGTACTGGTGCATTTTTTTTTTTTTTAATTTATTGTGCTTACAGTTAGTTGAACTTTTTGACTCTGTAGGTTTATAATTCTCATCAAGTTTGGAGATTTTTGGGTCATAATTTTTCCAAGTATTTTTCTTGTCCCCCAATTTCCTCTGCATTGGGACTTCAATTATATGTATAACAGGCTATCTGACGTTGTCCTATGTTTTATTAACTCATTTTTATGTCTTTCTTTTCTGTGTTTCATTATGGATAGTTTTTATTGCTACATTTTCAGGTTCACTAAGCATGTCTTGTATAAGGTCTAATTTGCTGTTAATCCTATTGAGTGTATT